AGCGGGCTGCAGCGCTTCAGCCATGACTTGCAGAGCTCTCCCGAGATCTTATCGGGCTGCGATCGATGCGGGCGGGGGCGGAGGCGGAGGTGGAGGCGGGGGGAGTGAGGCAGGCACCGCTGGCCCCGAACAAAAGGGAGAGGTTTGGTACGAAGTCGCCTCCCTCCTTTCTCCCCCCCCTTTCTCTTTGCAACCCAATCTTTCTGGAGGACCCAGTCCCGCTCCTAATCACTCAGGAATGCTTTGTGTCTGCTTGCTTTCGCTTTAGGCTCCGTCGGGAAGGAGGAGGGGGGAAAAAAAATGGTGCATGATTCAAACCAGCAGAGAGGCGATTTTTTGCTGCAGTCCTGGAGTGAAAAGTTTCGATGCGGGAGACGATCGCTCGGGCTGGGCTCCCCCCTCTAAGCCCTCGGATCTAAACACGGCTTCTTTCCCCCCTCTCGTAGGAAGGGGAAGACTCTTGTGCTGGGAGCCATGAGCTTGGATTGGTTTTATTGAAGTCTGCCAAGTTGCACCCGGGAGCCTGAAGATCCCTGTTGCCTGGACACTTCTCCGCTTTGGGGGAAGCAGAGGAGGGAGCCATGGCGTCCGGCTTCTCTAATGGACCCTGCATGCAGAACGAAGCCGAGGTGGTTCACCTCTGCCGGAGCTTGGAAGTTGGCACTGTGATGACTTTGTTTTACTCGAAAAAATCCCAGAGGCCAGAGAGGAAAACTTTCCAGGTGAAGCTAGAAACCAGACAGATCACCTGGAGCAGAGGCTCGGAGAAGATAGAAGGAGCAAGTAAGTGTGGATTTGTAACAACGGTGGGGAAGGCAACTTTGATTAGAGCTGATTCCCCACACATCAGACTGTCCGGGTTGATGGGCAAGTTTTCTTGAGCACTGGAATCTGCCTTGCTGTGACAGCCCGGGTGTTTTGTCTAAAGGGGGAAATCTTGCAACACAGTTGCAGTAATTGGCAAGTTTTTCTAAACCGAGTAAACTTTTCTCTCTCTTTCTTTTAATGGCCTGAAATGTTTATCCTGTGTTGAGTGGTGTGGCAAAGGCAGAGCTGCACTAATCCTTGAATGTACACTTCAAATCGTGTGAATTTTCAATCTAGCTTGAGATCTGGGCCTCTGGCTGGTCCAGAATAACTCTTAATCGTTTTTGTGATAAACACCTTCCTTTCTTCAAGGAAGAGGCCCATCTTTGTTGCTCACCTGACCATTCATCCCATTCACCCTGGGGGTTTTTTCCCTCCACCCTCAGAAGCTCCTAAAACCTGCAAGAAAAGCCAGCCTTCCCATTCCTTGATTTAAAAACTAATCACATTTTGAGCCCATTTTTTGCTTCTGTGATGGAGCTGACCGGGGTATTCATCATCTGCTTTCATGTATGTGAAGAAGAGATTGAAGTGAAGTTTTTGATTGTTGTGTTTCACAAGTGCTAATTGACAGGAGTGCATGAGCCAGAGTGGAGTCTTTGGGACTAAACTTGGGTCCTTCAGACCCTTCTGCTCTGGGGAATTCAACCCTCTTTGGTGCCTGGGTTAGCTAAGTTAAATGAGAATCACAATACTTAATGGGTTACCTTCTAGGTATACAAGCTTACCTACTTCTTCATCACCTGTTGAAGGGCACAGCTGCCTAGCTACTTAGAAATGAAGTCCACAGACAAGTTACCATCTACCTTAAAGTTGGTCATTATTTGGCTGCTTTGTTTGCTGTAGAAATCAAAGTTTAATGTAGAATTGATAGCTTTGGCCTTGAGCTCAGTAATTGCAATGAGCTCAGAAGATGAAGCAGTGGATGGCTTGAGATTATAATTTCTTAACCTATATGGCACCGAAATCAACTGTGTGGGTAGTGATTCCTCTGCTGACTTCCATTTTCCTTAAGCTTAATACCAGTTTGCAAAACAAGAAATCTTATCTATCAGATAAGTCATTAGTGACCAATTTGTCAGCCTTCAGAGGCTAGACAGATGTTTTCACAGCTGGGTGGTGGGTTGATAAAATATAATCCTCTTGTAAACTATGCTCAGTGCACTGAACACCAATGTAATTATAAATATATTTATAGCTAATTCTCTTACATATGCACTGAATTTTTAGGGGCTATACTCTAGTGTGAAGTTGGTGCTAGGGAGAAGGTTTCCAGCCCTAGGTTCAGTTTGGGGTTCACTCTTTGTGCCTTTCTTTACACTGTTTACAATAGTTGTTTTAATTAGAAAACTGAGCATTAATATTGAATTTTAAAGGAGAGACTCTTGCCCATGTCTCCTTCGTGCTTCCAAACCTGAGAATTGGTAAGGTATTTAGTTGCATCCCTGAGACCACTCTGTCTATAATTTGGTCATTATTTGATCAATTTGCTTGGCTCCAAAGTGAAAATGGATGCATATAAATAACTATATGCAGTTTTGTAAAGTATCTAAGAATGCTCTTGTGGTAGGATAAAATTGGAGTCTGCAATTTTTTTCCCATAGTGTCCTCACTATCAACATGTAAATGCCATAAAATTGTTTTAGCAGAGGCATCCCTTGCTGTGATTTTACCCTTCTGCTACTTTTAAAAGACTACAGAAAGAGCAAGAACCCCTCTGCTTGCTTTGCTCTTCCTTCCTTAGAAGTTTTTTTGCAACATTTTGAGCATAGTCAGTTAAACTGTTTCTTTCCTAATGAACTAGGCACAATCCTGCAAGATGTCCTGTATATGCAGAACCCTCCAGTAGGGTCTGCTTGCTGTTCAGGGCCTTACTCAGTTTCTCCTTTAGTGTGGTTCTGTCAGCACAAGGGGAGTGAAAAAGCATAGGAAATGCTAATTACAAACCCACAGAGAGTACTGGAAGGATGAGCTCAGGGCCTGAGATGGATCTTGTTTGGTTCCTGAGATGCAGTTGTCCCTCTGTAATTATTTAATATCCTCACCATCCATGTGAGGGAAGTGTTCATATTTTGCAGACTAGCTTGGGGAGAAATTGAAATATGCAAAGACCTAAGTGACTTCCCGAAGGCCTTGTCCGTTCTATATAGACTCTTTCACTACCCTCATCACTGTCTTATATTAGTAGCTTCCGCTAATGCGGTGGTTCTCAAACTTTTTTTTTCGCAGACCACTTGAAAATTGCTGAGGGTCTCAGCGGACCACTTAAACTTCTTTTTGTTCTACAAATCAAAGCACACAACTTGTATTTTAATATCAGTAGTCTTACTTTACAAGTACAGATATTCTTAATTATTCCACAACCTTTCTGCGGACCACCTGAATGGAGCTTGCAGACCAGTGGTGGTCTGTGGACCACAGGTTGAGGACCTCTGCACTAATGCATTCAGCGAGTCCAAGAATTCTTCCAGTTCCCTTTAACCACTATGTCACAGTTCCTCTTCCACAATGTAGAATATAACTTACCGTGTTCCCACGGGAGCAATGTCTGAAATATTTCATGTTACCTATAGGCACAGAGGGGTGAAGGAAACTTTAGTTGAGCTGCCTTTTCAGTGGGATCAATAGGAAGCAAGGTGGAATCTAATTCTGTTTATTGGATGAATGTCTTATGAAATTGCAATAGTCTGGGGGTCAACTGCTGGAGCCTTCTTGCCTCTCCCCACCAAAAGGTTTTAGGGGCCAGATTTTTAAAGATGTGTTTAGATTTCTGACTCCTATTCAGATCAGTGGGTCAAAAACATGGATACATTTGCGCTGGTAGGAGCTTGATTTAAATTTTATGTGCTTTGAGTGCAAAGTTTTATTTATTAGTGTGACAAAGAGAGTCAGCAATAGACCTCTCCCAGCACTGGGGAAAAGGGTGATTGGAGCTGATGATGGAAAGGCACTGCCTGCTTCAGAGAGAAGAGGAGGGAGAGGAGAGATCTTTCTGAGGTTGAGGGCCTGAGTACTTAGGCATTTGTGTATTAGGATTTAGGGGAGCAAACCATGAACACAGCTGAATAGTATCTTGTTTCTGGTGTAGCTTCTGATGCAGACTTAGAACACTGCACGTCAAGGGATGGCCTTGCTCTCCATGGGATGGTGACCTTCTCTGGGGTGGAACATGCCTGCGTTCAACACCATGGGGCCCAGGCTCCATTTTAATTTTAGATGGGAATTTTCAGAGAGGCCCATGGGAGTTAGGTACCCGGATCCTGTTGACTTTTAACACTTGTTCTTAACTGCATCCCAGGTATATTTTATTTCATTTTATTGCCTTAGTCCAGAAGGCATGTTTGCTTTACACCTATAGGTAAACTGAGCTGGCAGTGGCTGACTGTCTTTAGGAAGAGTAGGAGCCTCATAGACCATATGAAAGAAACTCTGCTGTGTGACATAACTTTCAGGTAAGGTGAGGCCGATCCTGTAATGACTTCAGCACCTGCTTAAATTCACGTATGTGACTTGTTTAGTTGACATGAATGAGTTGAGCAATGCAAGATTAAGCAGGTGCATAAGGGCAAACCATTTGCTGTTTAGTTGTGAATTGTGTGGCTGTCTTTGGGAAGCAAAAATTCTTAAAGGAGCTTCCAAAACCTTCAGCCTCAAGTCCACACCTCAGCAAAGTGTCCTGTTTCCTCCCCACCCTCTTAAGTGGCTGGGCTCCTACAGCTTCCATTGGATTCAGTGACCTCTGAAATTGAGGTTAGTTTAAATTGAGGCAGGGAAATACAGAATTAGGTATGTGCCTGTAACCAGCCAGGTTTGGAAGGCCTGTAATGTGTATCTGGTTTTATGGGTCCAGTCACATGTAGGTGAGTTGTGTTTTAAGCTTTTCCCAGAGCCAAGCTGGAGTTGGTAATAGAAAATAACACCTAGCAGCATGAGGGCTCCTGGCCACATCCCTGATTCCACTGAAATAAAAGTGGTGCAGGCTGCACAGCTGCAGTATGTATGGGGACAGGCGCTGAACAACTCTGCTGCTTTTGCAGGTTTTCTGGGGGCTGCACTTCAGTTTACTCATCTCTAGGCTGGCTCAGCAGCTGGGCTGAAATGATAGGACACCTGGATGAAACTAAGTCCTGGCCATCTCTGCTCACTCACAAGCATAGTTAAATATGGAGTCCCTATTTCCAGTTGGAGTGACTTCTCATCCTGAGTCTGAATTTCCCTTGCAATCGCATTTGTCACCATTCCTGTTCTGCTGTGGTCTCTGTGCAGCATTGCAGCCTCAGCTAGCTGTCTTGTTCAGCTGCAGAAGGTGGCTGCATTCTGCTGCTGGCTGACCTCTTGGTGCACATTGAGCATACACACCGGTATTCCCCTTCATGGGAACACTTTATTTACTATGAGTCCTCATTACCTCTGTGTTGGGTAATCTGGGGGTGACAGGCCAGTATTCTTAAACCTGGTGCTTAAGCTGGGGCCTTTTAGAGGGGTTTAGGTGTATACAAGAAGCCTCTCTTTGAGGGACCCACAGGACTTGGATTGGACGCCCAAATGTGGACTGGATTTGATTGCCAAGAACCTGAGGCTAGGGCACCTCCATACACACTTGAGCTTGCCCAAGGCTAAGAATACAACACAGTAGTATGTGGGTAGGCCAGAGCTTTACTGGTGTGCATTGCTTTGGTGTGTGATGACCAGGGATCCAGGTTTTCCATTTGCTTTGGAAAAACACAGATTTTTTTTTTTTCCTTTGAAGGAGAAACATGTGGGAAATGGCTGGTTTCCCTTTGCAGGCTGGCTGAGTTTCAGCCCGCAAGGGGCTGCTTAGGGCTGGGTGGAACGGGATGCAAAGAATAGGGCATGAGTGGGCAAAATGTGGCCCGGGGGCCAGATGCGGCCCACCAGGCCATTCTATCGGGCCT